ACTCACGTGAGTACTCCATGTTTCATTTTCGACCGGCATAATCAATTCATTCAGAATACAGAGTACTGGAAGGAACCCCACATCGATCCATTTTTCATTTAATTGGATTCCATGTCCCACGAATCCACGAATCCACTAAATCATCGTTCAGTGGACAGACCGACACACATGCGGGGCATTACGTTCCCTCCAAAATGGCGCATGTCTAGCCACGGACACAAGAACTCAGCGGCAGTGGGATGATTCATGCATTGAATCACGATTTTTTTTAAAATAGCAACCGAACTGCGACTGTGTATCAGTAATCCCGAAAGGTATTTTGGTCAATCACCCTAGCGTTTATATTCACGCATATACTTCTTCTACTTGTAGACGTACAAAACGAAAGCACATGGACGGTTAAAGTAAAAGGGAACGCTGTGCTTAGTTTCAGACCACCTGTCTCTCGACTGCCAATACGACCTTGTGACGATGGTATTCTACTTGTGACTGTGACTGTGAGCGGAGTAGGGTTCTTTGAACAGAGTGCATCGGATTTATTTTACAACAGTAATTCCAATGAAGAAAAGGATATTTGACCAAATTAATAATGCATTTGCGCGTATGGATTATTCTGTTATGAGCGGGTTAGTAACTTAGAAGTAAGTCGTCGGGTGTTTGGCAATGCTCCGAACAAGAACTCGCTATCGCATCGAATCTAGCTCAATAAGCTCCGTTGGTTAGGACAGGTGTTGCGTATGTCCGATGGTCGCCTATCATAGAGTGCCTTATTCACAGTGGCAGTTGCAGACTGGAGGAAGCCACGTGGAGGCCAGCAGATGATGTGGAGACGAGGCACGAAGAAATGCACACAGCGATTAGGTGGAGTAGGTGTCTCTCATCTTCCGGGGTGGGGTCTAAAAGACTCCGCAACCGCATGGTTGGAGACACTGAAGGTCATGGCTGCGAACTGACAGCAATGGCTATCTTACTGTCACTTCTTAACAGACCAACATGCTTGAAATAGTACGTATGCACAACCGGACTGTGTACTATGTGTTGACCATAGAGGTTCGCTTTCTTTTCCGGTCCCTAAAATAAAGTCCAATCCGTATCCGCCTTACACATTCTCAATTACTTTGTATGCAATATGAGTTTGGCAGGGATCAGTGAAATTCACTTTACTGTATTACACTGTACAATGATGATGATGAACGATCGTTCGGTCGGGTGACAGGCATCGGTCGGTACCCAAAAGCCTCGACTAAGCCGCTATCTCGCATCTTGTTCTATGAACGTCGAATGATAACGTGTGCCTCGAAGCAGGCCTGCCTCCTACAGCCTCAGTATGGTCGATGACAGGTGTTTCGGGTTGTGACCGGCAATTCTTCCGTTGCACCTCGCCTATACGCTCAAGCGTCACAAACAGCCTCTCCCCCGATGGTGTTCTCCCATAAAAGATGCAGGACGAACAGCCAACATCTGCGGCTATAACTGGGTCGGTTAGTCACTGGTAGTTGACTAAAAGCCTTGCTTCCGAACCAACCATGAAGAGTGGTACAAACCACACTCACCCGCATCTTTTTGACTGTGGCAGTGGGCTCCGGGTCAATTGAGGTCTCCAGAAGCTTTTACACTAACGCTCTAGTCACTTCTCCGCAATTCATCTACACCACAACGCCTTCTTCTTCCATTTTTTTTATCGATGTCAACAGTAAGCGAGAGAAAACTTCTCCGCGAAGTGTGCCCTGCCCTTAAGTTTCAGGCACACGTGTCAGCCCCTATTATGACTTTCGAAAAAATTATGCAGAACAAAATATTTTTAAATTCTCAAAGCTGCTAGGACAACTTGCTTTTACCCAGTTTCACCAACACTGCTCTCGCCCAAGTCAAGTCAGAATGATTGTATTGTATTATATTGTAATAACTTCTGCAAGCATGAAGCCCACGTTTCAGTTAAAAAATATGCAGTTTGGAGCAAGGGAGAAGATGAAAATAACAATGAAAAAAGAGATTTAAGTTCCAAAACTGTTAACAAATTCTATGAAAACCTGTTCTTTGTTAACAAAAATATTTGCTAATGAGGGTACAGTGGAGTTACGATAAATGTTTATTCTAGAGGGAACACAACGATATTGTGATCTAGTCGAGGGATGGGAACAAATGGAAGTTTGGTCAGCGTGCAGCGGATGTGTGGAGTCGATGAGAATCTGATGCGCAAACTTTTCACATGCATTCAAATGACGTTCGCATAGGTTAGTTATCAACTCCTTTAGTGGGACTGAAGAAACACGGCTAATGATGGTCAATCCGCGTGGAAGCAAATTAAAATCCGTCTTAAGGAGGTTGGGAAAAATAACGGGTGAACAATAAAGTAAAACAGGGAAAACACATTGATACAGAAAGTTGGAAATAATTAATTGTGGAGTACGAAACTGATGAAGTTTACGGATATGAAAAGAAAGTCTTCGAAGCTTACTGACGATGTGTTGAATGTGAGAGATCCAGTGAAGATTAGTATCAATAAAAACGCCCAGGTATTTAATACAGTTTACCCGGGATATTGGTTCGGAACCAACCGATACCGGAAAGAACTGCACCTTGGAGTACTCCAGAGCTGTTCAACAACGGTTTGGATTTCTTTCGACCTAACCTGGTACAGTGAGTTCTCCCGGAGAAGTAATCGACAAGTCAAGCTAATAACTGTCTAGGACAACCAAAGGTCTCTAGATTATAAAGAAGGGAACGAGGAATAGAATCAAAAGCAGATGAGTAGTCCAGAAACACATAACGGACAGATTTCGCAGTCATTCATGGATTTGGTAATTTTATGTAAAGTAGAGGAAACTGCATCCGCGTGCCTCTGTTTGGTTTATAAGCAAACTGAAGAGGATCGTATGGGATATCAATGGAGGACTGATTGCGGTTAAGAACAACTCAAATTCTGAGGACTGGAAACAGCAAACATCTGTGGCAAGGTATAGGACTTCTCAGTGGAATGAAGAAAGTACGGTCGAACGTAGATGTGGACGCTGATGATCTCAATGCCGCATTCTTGCACCAATCATCGGACATTCTTCCTGCCTACTCGTCACAAAATGTTTGTAACGTGGAACCACTCTCATACTGTGACGGGTTAAAACTTTTACAAAGTTGCAAGACGTCTTCTGCTGCAGGCCCAGATGACTTACATCCAGCCCTCTTCAAATTTGGTGCTGTTTCACTAGCTGGGGCAATTACCTCTATTATAAATGAATCTCTTCACACTTCTACTATCCCCGATTGTTGGAGACCGGTCACAATCATACCAGTCCCCAAAGCATCTAAATCCTCTATCCTCTCCAAACGTTTTCGTCCCATTGCATTGACATCTTCAGCTCTTAAATTGACTGAAAAGGCCAACCTCAAACGCCTTCAGCAGTCCATAAACATTCACAGTGATCCGTTACAGTTTGCTTACAAGCCAAATAGATCCACCCTGGACGCAGTCTCTACCCTCATTCATTTCATCACTAAATCGTTGAACAGCTCTGTTGAGTCTGTTCGGTGTGTTTTTCTCGACTACTCTTCTGCATTTGATTCCATTCCTCGATCTAAGTTGTTACACAATCGTTTGAATGTCCCAAGCAGTTGTTAGCTTGCCTACCCAACAATTTTACCGATAGGGTACAAACCACTAGATTAGGGAAGGCCATATCGAAACCCTTAGTCAACAACTCCGGGGTCCTTCAAAGAGGCGGGGCTACCCCCATACTTAT